CCACAGGCGTTCGCATAAATCCTAGTTCTATAATACAAACGCGTAAAACCTCATTGAGTCATTTCACCATGTAAACAATCAGAAAATTATTCAAGAGCATATTTTGACGCACAATATGCAGATTCACTGGGTAATGACACATAATCAGCTACAGAACAAACGTTAATAACACGTGAATCACGTTTAGCAATAAGTAATGGTAAAAATTTCTTTGTCATTGCAACGTGTCCAAAAAAATTTACACCCATTACTTGATGCGTATCTTTCATTGATGTCCAATCAATATGGCTAGTAACAACTATTCCAGCATTACTAATAAGTGCATGAAGAACTTTTGTGTTCTTGTTGACTAATTCAAATGCAGTATCGATATCTTCTTGTTTAGTAGTATCGAGATGAAAAACTGTAGCTTTTGATGAAAGTTTATTTTGAAGTGATGAAACATTTTCTGGAATGAGAACTCTAGCAAGAACATCAAAACATTGTTTATCAAGTGCAATAGCTAATTGATGATCAAAACAAGTATCACAACCACTAATTAGAACATATTTACCATTTGAATAAATATTTGGTGTTGGAAAAAAATGTTCACATAAACGGTAAAATATATATAGAACAATAAAAAAACCAATAACTAGCATCATGGTTACCTATTTTATAGAGGTATATCGAAAAAGAAAGGCTTCAGATATTTGTTTTTATCGTCAAGGGTATGCGTGCGCAAAATTAGAAAGAAAAGGAGAACAATATGTGAGAATGTCTGAAGATAAATATATACATTCAACAGCCATATGTTATTCATCGAAACGTAATCAGAGTACATTATAAAAAAAGAAAACTTCTTAAAATGTAGGTTGTTCATAATAGAGAGTAAGGAGTAAAAAAACACAATATGAAATACTGATAATAATATGGCAGGATGTAAAATGTGTTAAGAGAAGAATTTAGTGTGATTTATTGTACTTTGATCTTAGAAAAACTGATATATCTTGATTTCACATTTTATTACAGATAATATTAAATGCATTAAACGAGGCATTAATGTATTCATAATTCTGTCTCCTGAACTTAGGTTTATAAAAGTTTTTTTTTTCTTGAAACTTTTCAATTTTTGATCAGGTTAGTTTATCAAGAGAATCATTTGGATCAAGACATATATTAAAGTTTTTATTTGATTTTCGAAATAAAAACGTAGTTTCCATCTAAATTAATATGCGAAGATGAAATTGTGTGAGCTAAGTCTTATGTTGAACCAACTGGGTCGATATCGAGTTCGAGGAGCAATACTTATAATGGCATGTTCGAGTACGCGAATAACTTTTTCCGTAGTTTTAGAACATCTGATAAACGAACTATTTATCACTAATTTAAATACATCGTCAAAAAATGTTTCATCCCATCGTTTCTTAACATCCAATAGCAACTGTAGCCAAATTTTTTTCAATGTTTGATCCAAATTT